ACTCATTTGCTTATTTTTATTTTGACCAGAGAGACAGAAAGAGAAAGTGAGAAAGCAAGCCACCAGGTCCAGGTCTTGAACCATGGTTGGCCATATGGGTATGTCCAGCGCCTTAACCACATCACCTGCTGGTCCCCGCCACTTTAACTTGTTTTTAACCAGTGCCTACCCTCTCCTTTATAAGGAAGTTAAGAAGTAGTTGAGTCGATGAAAAATTATTGAAATTCAAACAAACTACCTAACCTGTGGGCACTCAGGCTTCCCCACCTGTCAAAGGCGAAGCACACGGGCTTTCTGCTCCTCTGTGTGGCACAGGTGGGGTGCAGCCTGGGAACTGCACGCAGCCCGGGCCATCCTCACCAGGTGCTGTGCCCATTCCTAATCAGCCCGGGACTGGGTGACCTCAGTGGTTAAGGACACTCTGCCCTCGTCATTCAATTCTTCCCTCTTGCCTCCTCAAAGAAAATCCAGCATGGCTGGCCTCCAGGAGGCTGGGAAGGGAAGCTTCTGTCAGAGGGCGACCCGTGGCTGGGTCAATGTCATGCGGTACGCTCTGCTCTCGTTCTGACTCCCCCTCTCCCCTTTGGTCGGCAGTCACTGCTTGGAGCAGCAGACATTTCCCGGTGATCAATTTCACAGAATAAGGGTGTGCAGTGCAAGGGCTATTAATATAATGAGCCTTTAAAAAAAAACAAACATTTCTCGCTTGCCATAATCTGAAGGACAAGACCTGCTCTTTCCACATCACACACAATCTACTGGAATCTGGAAATAACTCGTAAAAATCAGACAGGATCCTCTGGCTACAAAGTATCCATTATTTAGCACCCCTGGGATACTTAGGCAAAGAGCTCGAATCTTCTCCAGAAAACCACCCTGTTCTTAGCAAAGGGGTCCCCACGACTCCAGAGCAAAGAGCAGCTCCCACAGCTGAGGGCACCCCTTATCTCGGACCCCGCCCCTTCCTGTCTTTTTTCAGTTGCCGGGAGAGAAAAACAGTCAACAAACTGAGCTGCAATCTTGGTCTGGGCGTGGATTTTCTGAAGGCTTCCCTTGAAGGCGAGGAAAGGAAGTAAAAAATGAATGTGAAGGGGGAAAAACCGAGGGAGAGGGACAACTGAAGGTTAGAGCAGGAACCGACAAGACGAATCTCATGAATGGTGGCAAATGCAGGCTTGCTCACCAGGGAGACCAAGACGGGAGCCTTAAATAAGAAACTTGGTAAAAGAAGAAAGCCGGTTTATTCCAAAGTTGGGAATCTGCATTGGAATTATAAATTTATCACGATAACACAGATTAAAACACGAAAGAGCAAAAGAAGCGGGACCAAGTATAATGGCTACGCTGCTGGACTCCCACACGGCCTCCCATGGTTCAAGTCCTGGATCCCGAGGCTTGAAACTCACGCCAGGTGCATGTACATGCCCTAAGTCCCGTGAGGAAAATGGACAAGAAGGGACTGCTGGGATTGCAGCGTGGCCATCCTCCTGGGGGGGGGGGTGTGATTTCTTACTTTCTGTCTCTTCAGCAAGTGCATGTGCCCCATAGCAAAAATCTCTCTAAGAAAAAAGAAATTAAAAAAAGGAAAAGAAGTTACACACACACGTGTTCTCCACAAGTGTTCAGAAACAAAGTGAAGCGGTGGTATTCACCTTGTGAATCCTTTCAGGGCACTCTGCCGCCCCTTTACATGGCCAAATCGTGAAGAAGAGCGAAGAAGTGATTCCCCCCGTCAGGACAGGGTGACGCTTAGTGAGCTTCAGGGCACCTGCAATGTTCCGTTTCTTGACCTGGGTGGTGGTTATGCTGGTGTTTATAATCATTTGCTTTATAATCATTTGTGCTGTATTCATATTTTGTTACTTTTTAAAATTTCTCACACACAAAAATAAGTTAAAGGAGAAAAAGGAAATCTTTCAAGTTCCTAAGAGCACAGAGGTATACCCAGACGTTTTCACCAAAGACTGGAGCCAATACCAGAGTAATTCATGTAAAGAAAGCAAACATAGTTATGTAAGTAAAAGACACTCCTCTCCCGGACTAATTTTACGGTTTGCTTTGGTGTGGAAACTCGAAGTCTGCACACATGAACCCATCCCAGCAAACGGAATCGGCCAGGATGATAAGGTAGCACACCTAACAGAAGGCTATGTGACTCTGTCAGTGCTCACATCCTATCTGTTTACTACGCACTCCCATAGCTTAACTAGCAGCCATCGGCTGGCGTTATCCTAACCACTGCAGAGGTTAGAAAGGGTGTAGCGGTTACGTCACTGGACTCCCATACGGCAGATAGCGACTGAGTCTCAGACCCAGTGACTTGAACTGGGCCTGGCAGGTGGTGTGGAGGCTAAGGGCGCTGGACTCCCACATGGCCGACCACGGTTTGTGTCCTGGACCTGGCAGCTTGCTTTCTCACTTCCCTTCTCCCTCTCTTCCTCTCTGGTGAAATTAAAATAAGAAAATAAATAAAGCTAAATAAAATAATTAAAAAAAAAAAAAAGAAAAAAACTCATGCCGGATGCGCGTGCATGTGTGCCTGCCCAAGATGCAGGGAGAAGGGAGAAGAGGGGACTGCAGCACGGCCATCACCCCGGGGAGAGATTTTTTTGCTTTCTTTCTCACTGTCTCTGTCTTTCTCTCCCCAGCGGGTACAAGCATCCTAAGCAAAAACCTAAAAAGAAAAATTTAAAAATTAAATTAAATTAAAAAAGATGGGCCAGCAGGTGGCATGGTGGTTAAAGGCGCTGGACTCCCACATGGCTGACCATGGTTCAAGTCCTGGACCTGGCGGCTTGCTTTCTCACATCCCTCTTTCTCTCTTGCTCACTCTGTCCCTCTCTGGTCAAAATTTAAATTAATTAATTAATTAAAGTTAAATAAAATAATTCTAAAAAAAAAAGAAAGAAAAGGTGCCCCAGATCACAGCACCAATGGTGCCCATGACTTCCCCATTCCCAAGAGGTCCACAGATACACATTCCCCATGCACAGATAATAGGATGAAAAGACAGGAAGTTACCATCAGCACGAGAATGCCTCGCCTCCTCTGAGTCACTTTCACTTTTCAATTAAAGCACCTTTACAATGCCAAGGGCAGGACGCCGATTAGCTTCTCCCACTAGACCATGAACACCTTGAGAATGGCACCGGTTCTCTGACTGCCAAGGAGTTTAAAGTTTCTGGTACATGCCATGTGCTCATTAAACGTGTGCCCATACGTCATAAATAAATAAATGTATTTATATATAAATAAGTGAAACGTAAATACCAACTTGTGAATTCAGTGTGGTATTCCCCCCCATAGCATTCATGCACAGTGCCACTTGCTTTAAGACTTTTAAAGAATTATTTTATTAAATATTATTTTTTAAATTGACCAGAGAGAGAGAAAGGGAGTGAGAGAGAGGGAAAGCAAGAAAGGAAGTCACCAGGTCCAGGCCCAGGTCCAGGACTCGAACCATGGTTGGCCATGTGGGAGTCCAGCGCTTTAACCACACCACTTGGATCGCCCTGCATTAAAACGTTTAAAAGCAGTTAACATGACAGGCGGTAACTGCCCTTTCAACAGATTGCCAATACACCCTCCACTACTTAAAAAGAGGTTTCATGTCACTATAAACCTCAGAAGTGGAGAGCTGACAGGTTAATTATAGACACAAAGACAGGGACAAATGGCCTGTGAGGTCATTGAGACTGAATGTGGAGGCAATGTCCTCCCTGGACAAGCTTTAGTAATCAGCTTGCAACGATGTATCCAGGCGGGCCAGGTGTGGGGGCGCGGCTTCGGATTTGGGGAAGATGCAGTTCTTGCTGAAGGCTGGTGGCCTGGAAGGCACCTCTGAGAATAGCTAAATAGGTCTCTGTGGGACGGACGAGATGGGCAGGCGGGAGACAGGGCTGAAGGACTGGCCGTCTGCTCCTTTGGGGTGTGGGCATTTCCCCGGCCTTCTCACTGGGCCTCCCCTTAGTGAAGAAAGTGCCCGTAGACTGGCAGGGTCCGACAGGAGGCCCCCAGCCTCTTCCTGCACCTCCCACCAAGCTCCTTTAGGTGCTGGAAGGAGGTTTAAGTCAAAATGTCCCATAAGAATCTCCCTCTTCCACTCTCCCTCCCCATACAAATTCCAAGGGAAATCTGGTAGGTGGGAAGGGGGAGGAAGAGCGCTTGGTCAGTTTCAGCGGCCCACTGCCAGAGAACGTGACGTGGCCCTCTAGGCGCGGCACCCGAGTGCAGGGACTGAGTGAGGCGTCGGTCCGGGGACACCGACCGTGTCTGACCCAGCTGAGGTGACCAAAGCCTCACCTTCCGAACACTGAGTCCGGGTCTCGCTGGGGGTCCCACTTTGCCTGGCGATGGGTCTGGTGGTCCTCTCGGGAGGTTTGCGCACACTAGCCCCACACACAGGTGAAAACCCCGCCCCGCCCCAGGGGGAGAAGGGTGGAGAAGTAGGGGTAATGTGAGAATGCGGGGTGTGGGGAGAGGATGGAGTTTATTTTATTCCCTCTCACTGGGAATGACCGGGAGTTTAGTTTATTTCCAGAATCTCACCTTTTCTCCGAAAGGCATCGGGGAGGCGAGGCTCAGCCACGACCAAGTGCAGAGTGGAAACTAGTTGTCTGGGCTGTTGCTTTCTAGGTTACCCTTACCCCCCCGCCCCAGTAAACTTCCCACCCACCGCACCGCACTGCTTTCCAAGCTGCTTTCGGCCACGAAATAAGAACCGAGAAGTGCGATCGATCCCCCAGCGCGTGGGACCTGCGGGGACCCTCCTGCCCCGTGGCGGACAAAGCGCGTCCCCGCTCCGGGCCGCGCTTCCGGGGCGAAGGGGCGAAAACTGAGCTCCGGTTTCTGGCGGCCGCGGTAGCAGCGGCGGCCCCGGGCAGGCTCGCCGCGAGCGCAGCCTCGGGGACCCGGCGCGGGGAGCGCTCGGCGCACTGCGCACCTGGACGCTGCCCGCAGCGGCCCCGGCTCCGCCCACGCGCGTCCTAGGTTGCCCTTACCCGGGAAATGGCGAGAGGCTGCTCGAAGTCCTTGCCGCCCACGAGGCGAAAGCCCCAGGGTCCCGGGCCCTGAAGGACTATCTGCTGGGTGGTCATGGCGTGGTGGCGGCGGCGGGTGGTGACCTCAGGGGACAGATGGGCAGGTCGCGGCGCGCTGGCGACCCGGGCAGCTGTAGGAGAAAGAGCGCGCGGCGCGGGCGCGGAGCCTCCGCCGGGTGAGCCGCCGAGGGCCCGGCCCCGAGTCCCGCTGGGAGAGCCCGAGACTGATCCCGAGCTCCGCCCGGGACCCCCGCACCACCTCCCAGGGGTCCCCACCCACCGCCGCTCCCAGCCCCGCAGCGGGCGCCTGGAGAGAGGGAAGCAGGTCCCGACAGATCGCCGAGACAAACCTGCGCTTGGCGCTTCATGAAACGCGTGTAAAAGCGCAGCGCGGAGTCGGGGTCTGAGGTCAGCTCCATTTCGCATTCGCTGTTTGTAAAGGATAATGACGTGTAAAGGTGCTTTCGAGTAATCTGACCCCGTGCTACGGGGCGGCCAGCGCGGCTGGCCCCATTTTACAGGTGAAGTGAGTCCGCCCAAGGGTAAGGCTTGCCCGAGGCTACGCAGCGGCTGCACCTGGAGCACTACCGGGCTCCCGCGCCCGAGAACCTCATCCTGGAATTCACCTAACGCTTGCGAGCCCGTCACAAACGGGGCTGCGATTGGACATCGGGCCTTTCTGTAAGTCTAGCCCCCGCGCGGAGGTTGGCTGTAGTTTCAACCAACGGTTCACACCTCAAGTTTGTGGCTGGCCAAGGGCTACGTGCATGGGAAGGAGTGGGTCCGAAGCCCCAGGTGTCCAGCTTGCCACTAGCTTCCTAAGTGGGTTCCCTGGTGCCCCCGGTCCCCACTGATGTGCACTCTCCACGCCAGCCCAGCCCAAGGATCACGCTGTTCACCGCCCCCTCGACCCTGGGTAACAACTCAAATCCTTAAAGTGCTTCTAGGGCCACGCCCAGAGCGGCCCCACCCCCTCTGACCTCATCCCCACTCCCCTGCCCCCAGCGTGCACGCACCCCGCCCACACCCCGCCCACCAGCAGCACGCGGGCCTCGCTGCTGCCTCGGGCTCTCCGTCTGGAATGCTCCTTGCCCAGGCCTCCTTATCTTCTCTGTACGGCCATCTCAGACGCCATTTAAACATCGTTTCTAGAATGCCCTTGCACCTTCCCTGCCTTTTTTTCTCCTTTATATTTTTCACCACGGGACACTCTCTATTTTATTTATGCATGTACCCTTCCCCCACCCCCTGCGCGTCAGTTCCCCAGGATGGGGGGTGGGGTGGGTTGTTTGTTTTTTAATCTCAGTGCATGGCACACAGGTCTTCTTGGTGTTACGCGGCCATCCTACACCACCTGCCCTCTCTGGGCTCCAGTTTTATAGTAGTTTTCTTGGCACCCATGTTTCCTGGCCCCTGGTCCCGGTGGGATGCTTGGCATCAAGCCTGTGCTCAAGGAGTTGGCTAAATGCACAGCTCAGCCTCCTGATCCTGGCCTACCTCCAGGGGAACCTGGGGCAGAGTCTTAGTTTTTGCTAACGGGGTGCTAGTGGGAATGGAGAGGGACAGGGAGAGAAAGTAAGAAATCACTCCCCAGGGGTATGGCCCGTCCTCCATCCCTTCTCCTCCATTCTCTCTGGATCCTAGGCGCGCATGCACACATGCCCAGCATGATTTTCAAGCCACAGTCTGGGAGTCACAGCGGGCCATGTGGGATCCAGCCACCCCAACCATCTTCTGGGCCCTAGGTACACAGGCTTATACATAAGAGTCATCTTACTTGTTCAACTGAGCCACAGCCCAAATGCTGCATTTGGGAATGGTTTGCTCCTTTTAGAAATCAAGAGGGTTGTTATTATCTATGCATCTCTCTCAGCCCTTTGCATCCTGATCATCTTTCTTGGATCTCAAAGTTATAGCCAGTAGCAAGCCATCTGTTTTATAGCCCCCGAGATACATCCTCTTTGGTAAGATTCTGTTAATTAAAAAGTGATTGTGTTTCAAGTCCCTGCAGAATTTGGGGAATCACCAAGTTCTGAATCCATCACTAGGTGCGTAGCAGTCTTGAAGATTTTATGTCCTCTTCCTAGGAGCCAGCAGGTAGCGTGGTAGTTAAAGCACTGGACTCCCATGTGGGTGACCGTGGTTTGAGTCCTGGACCCAGCAGCTTAAAAATCACTCTGGGTGTGTGTATATGCATGCCCAGAATCCCGAGAGGAGGATGGAGGAGAAGGGATTGCGGTATGGCCACCCTCTCTGGGGGTGATTTCTCTCTTTCAGCACAGGAACCCCATGGCAACAACCTAAAAAAAAGAGAGGGAAAAGAATTGAAACACCACTCCTGTGTTGCCAGGGCAGGGGCAGTCTCACTGACCCGGTCCTGCTAGCACGGCCCGATACGTGGGAGGCGTCAGTGTTTGTTCTGCAGTCCCTCATGCAGGCGTAGGTCACCAGCACGTGAGTGAAACGTGAGGACTCGAGACTCCGTTGCTCGATTCAGTGTTCTCAGTTGAAGTCTGGCTCTGCAGAGCAGGAGCCGTAAAACAGCCAACCTTTGACCCCACCGTCCTCTTTCTGGGCACTGATTCCAAAGACACAGTTTTAAAGAAGAAAAAAAGCTATATGTGCATGGATATTTATAGTTGCGTAATCTCTAATGACAAAAAACCTGGACTGAACCAGTAACAGCAGAGTGGCTAAATATGGTATGGCCACACGGAGAAAAGCGGGCAGCACCAGTGTGATAGCCGTGGGGACTGAGGAGACAGAGTATCGTTTCCGAAGTGTGTGAAAAGGGAAACAAAGTTATTTTCATAGCAGGTTAAAAGTGCAAAGCTATACCTACCTATTGATAAAAATTAAGAAAGTACATACACACATACACTGTCTTGATACTGGGAGGTGACATTTTAAAAAATAGCTGTTTGTTTTTTTTTGGAGACATTTTCACTATAGGGCACGTGCGTTCACCAGACAGACAGACAGAGATATAGAGACAGAAAGCGAGAAATCACCCCCAGTGGGGATGGTCACGCCGCAATCCCTTCTCCTCCATTCTCCTCTCGGGATCTTGGGCACGCACGCACACGCGCCCGGCGTGAGTTTTAAGCCACCGGGTCCAGGACGCGAACTGCGGTCGACTACTTGGGAGTCCAGCGACATAGCCATTAGGCCAACTGCTGGTTCCCCAAAAATAGCTTTTAAAATAATTTCCTGAAATGATGATGTAAAGGAATGGAGACTAAATGCTAGTCTTTCTCAAGATAGAGACCTCATTGCCTATCTTTTGAGCTCCACTTTCCTCCCCCAACCCCCAAGAAGCTCTGAGCTTGCACACAGCTCATACCTAGAAAATACCCAGTGATGGACTGATAGCTCTCACCCCCAAACACAGCCATCTCTTCTCTCCTTAAACATCAAACCTTATTTATGCACCTCCCCAGTGCCGTCAGGGCCCTGCCTCCTGCCCTACAAGGTGAATGGCCTGAAGCAACCTCTCTGAACTTCAATTTGCTTGTTATCATAACTCATTCCAGAAAACTTAGTTGACCTAAACAGCCTCCATCAAATATCTGTGTATTTGTTGGTGGTGGGGAGGGAGAAGGGGGCAGGGAGAATGCAGGAGAAATGGAAGCAAAAAGAAGGGCAGGAAAAGGCCAGAAGAACAGTGGTCCAGAGTTGGGGCTGGGGGACAGGAACGGCGGCCCTCTCCAGCTCCCAGTCCCATTTCTTGGCGCGGCTAGGGTGGGAAGCAGCCGCTCCAGGGTTTGCAGTCTGGCCTCTGTGGAACTGGCAGCCTCCACACGCAAGGCACTATTGCCAGGCCCCTCCAGAGCCACTACATGGAGGTGTTGCTTCCTGGAACATGGCCCTGTTTTGTTTTTTGTTTTGTTTTGTTTTGAGGCTTTTGCCATAGGGTGCGTGCACTCCCTAGAGAGAGACAGAAAAAGAGAGAGAGAGAAAAAAGTGAGAAATCACTGCTCAGGGAGGATGGCCACATTGCGATCCCTTCTCCATTCCCTCAGTATTTGAGGCATGTATGCACAAGTGTCCTGAGTGATTTTTAAGTCACGGGTTCGGGATTCAAACTATGGTCAACCATCTGGAGGTCCACTGCCACTTGCTTGTGCAGCTTTTTTTTTTTCCTTCTTTCTTTCTTCCTTCCTTTCTTTCTTTCTTTCTTTTTTTTTTTTTTTTTGTTGTTGTTGTTTGTTTTTGTTTTTAGGTTTTTGCCCTAGGACTCTGCACTCCCCGGAGAGGAGAGAGACAGAGAGAGGGAAAGTGAGAAATCACCCCCTAGGGGTGATGGCCACAGTGCAATCCTTTCTCCTTCATTCTTCTCTGGATTTTGAGTATGCAAGCTCAAGTTCCTGGCATGATTTTCAAGCCACCAGCTCTGGGACTCAAACTGCAGTCGGCCATGTGGAAATCCAGCCACCTTAAGCACTATACCCCCTGCTGGCCTCCAGCCCTATTTCTTAAAGACAGTGAGTCTGGGATTGTGCTTGGTTTTACCCATAGTCCCATTTACTCTTCAGGATGAGTTTCAGACTTGCCCAGGTAACCCAGCCAAGGCAACACTGGCGATGACCCAGTTCATTGGCTGCAGAGCTCCCAGGCCTAGAGGTGACCACCAGGACCGCTCCTGCCTGAGAGCTAGCCAGGACCCAGAGGGAGTGATATGAGCAAGTCTGAGAGCTCTCTCTGGGATCCAAGTAAGGCTGGCTCACAGGCTCAACTCAGCTAGCCAGAGCGGAGAGCCAGAACCGAGCTGGCCAGGCGCTCTCAGGTCCCCAAACCGGTGTGACTGCCTGCCTGTGTGCGTTGCACTGGTCAAATGACATCTGAGCAACTGGCTTCTCTGTTCTGTGAAAAGAACCAAGCCTAAGCTGAGAGGCTCGCAAAACAGACACCTTTGCCAGACGGGTCCTATCTTGCCTGTGTCGACCCCGCCCAGGGTTTGGGTCCTTGCAGGGTCAATGCATGACTCCCACCCCTGTCCCCGCCCCCTCACCCCTCCCATCCCGTCCCAGCTCTGCTGTAGATGGATCAGCAGGGAGAGGCGTCCTCCCTATTGGACAGGGAATTGGCCTCTGCTGCAGCCCCAGGGAGAATCCTGAAGTGGCCACTCAGGATTGGGCGCTTCCCAGCCACACAGAGCATGCTCCATGACACTTCCGGTCATGACACCTGGGCACCAGGCCTGGCTGGCGATTACCGATTACCGGGGGAGGGTGAGGGTGTGGACAGATGAGCTGGCAGGTCTGAAACTGGCCCCGTGCCTAGCAGAGAGTCAAGGGGTGAGCAGGAGGGCTTTAGCAATGCAGCTCACCTGCTTCCCGGCTCCCACCCCACCTAGACAGGCAGTACCGTGTTCTCAAAGGCAGAGAGGCCTGGACCATTACTGGCTCTCGAGCATACCTAAATTTCAAAGGAGAAATTCTAAACAAAGTGATTGTAGACAGGGTAGCTCCTATTAAGTGTTTAACTGGAAAAGTTAAAACAAAAAACGATGTAATATAATAATGCTGTTCATAAGATAATTAATAAATTGTGTCAAAATGTGGTGTGATGTAGTATGTAAAATAAAATGTCATATCCTGGGCCAGCCAGGTGGTGTGGTGGTTAAGGTGGCTGGATCCCACCTGGCAGGCTTCGCAGTCCAAGTCCCAGACCTGGCAGGT